AGCCACTGAGGAATTTTAAGCTAAGTGGCATGACCAGATTTATATTTTAGAAAGATTCCCCTGGCAGCTGTATGTCAGATGGATTGCATGGAGGCAGGACTGGTTCCAGGGAGACCAGTTAAGAATCTATTGAAGTAATCCAACTAAAGCTGGTGAGGCCAGAAATAACACAGTGACAGAGCGGAAAGGACTAATTTGAGAGTACCTAAGGAGGCAGAAACAGGACTTGAAAGACTATCTGGGAGAGGGAGGGAGGGAGAAAAGACATCAAGGAGGTTTCCTGAGTTACTGACTGGAGCGGCTAGTGGAGGATGGTGGTGCCGTTAACCAGGACATGGAATACAGGCTGTAGAGCAGGGGTGGAGAGAGATGATAATATATACCGTTTTTAAATTGAGATACAGTTTACGTACAGTAAGATGCATAGAATGGAAGCATACAATCCAGTGAGGTTTCTCAGATGTATGCACCCATGGAACTAACATACCAGTGAAGAAAGAAAACATTTCTATTCACTCCCGAAGTTTCCTCGTGACCCCTTCAAGTCAATCCTCACCCTGCTGGCAAGCACTGTTCTGATTTTTATCATCATAGATTATTTTGTCTGCTTTTGAACTAAATGGAATCATACCATAGATAGTCTTTTGTGACTGGCTTCTTGTACTTAGCATATTATTTTTATGATTCATCCATGCTATTGCATCTGTCAGACGTTCATCCCTTTTTATTGCTGAGTAGTATTCCATTGTATTAATATACCACAATTTGTTTATCCACTCTTCTGTTGGCAGGCATTTGGATTGGTTCCAGTTTTGTTTGTTTTACTATTGTGAATAAAACCACTGTAAATATTCTCATATGTCTTTTGTAGATGTACATTTTCATTTATCTTGGGTGAATCAGGAGTAGAATTCCTGGGTTAGGATGGGTGTAGGTTTCATTGCAGAGGAAGAGACCAGACAGTTCTCTGAAGTGATTCTAGTGTCTTATACTCCTCCCAGCAATGGACAAGAGTTCTGGTTGCTTCACGTCTTTGCTGCTTTGGTGCTTTTTGTTTTTAATTTTAGCCATTTTGGTGTGTGTGAAGCACACACATCTATCACATGATGGTTTTAATACAAATTGAGTACTAATGAATACTAATGATGCTGAGCATCTCTTCATGAACTTATTGGTGTTCATTTTTCTTTTGTGAAGTTTCTGTTCAAATCTTTGCCTATTTTTTGTTGGATTCTTTATTATTGAGTTGTTAATATTATTGAGTCTTAATATATTCTAGATACAAGCCTTTTGTCCTATATATGCATTGCAAATATTTTCTCCCATTCTATCACTTGTCTAGTCATTTTCTTAATGACGTCCTTTGATGAACAGAAAATTTTAATTTTGAGACCAATTTATTAGTTTTTTTATTTTATGATTAGTGCCTTTTTGTGTTCTCAGAAATCTTTGCCTACCCTCAGGTTGCAAATATGTTTTCCTGTGTTTTCTTCTAGAAGCTATATAGATTCAGTTTTTATGTTTATGTCTATAATCAATCTTGAGTTAAATTTTGTGTATGGTTTGAAGTATGAGTCAAAAATTCATTTCTGGGGGGGCCGGACGCACAGCTGAGTGGTTAAGTTTGCATGTTCTGCTTCAGCGTCCCACAGTTTCACTGGGTTCGTATCCTGGGCACAGACCTAGCACCGCTCATTGAACCACTTTGTAGCAGCACCCCACATGGAAGAACTAGAATGACCTACAACTAGGATATACAACTATGTATTGGGGCTTTGGGGAGGAAAAAACAAGAGGAAGAGGGTGGGGGGTGGGCACAAAGGGTGAAGTGGTGCACCTACAACATGACTGACAAACATTAATGTACAAGTGAAATTTCACAAGATTGTAACCTATCAATAACTCAATAAAAAAAATTAAAAAATAAATAAATAAAATACTATAACACTTATCATCCCCCCCCCCAAAAAAAAACAAAAACAAGAGGAAGATTGGCAACAGATGTTAGCTTAGGGCCAATCTTCCTCACCAAAAAAGAAAAAAGAAAAAAATTCTCTTTTTTTTCATATGGATATCAAGTTTCTCCAGCACCTTTTGATGAAAAGGCTTTTCTTTACCCTTGAATTGCATTGACATTTTGTCAAAAATCAATTGATGGTTATACGTATGCGTCTATTTCTGGACTCTGTTTCTCTTGTGCTAGTACCACACTGTCTTGTGGCTGGTGTTGAGGGAGTCTAGATCATGTTTTGTTTTTCAGAGTGTTAAGTTTTATTCCAGCAGGCAGTTAAGTTACTGGTGGAGCCCTTTGATCCCGTCAGGCTCACTTTTATTCTTCCTATTTTAATTTATTCCTATGGCCCATCCTCTCTGAGTCTCAGCATGAACACTCCCCGTTCTGGGTTGGAATTCCATTGTCTCCCAGCTCCGCGGGATCTCTAGTCCCACCATTTACCCAGCGGCGGGGAGCTCTCCCAGGTCTGAGGAAGTCTTGCCTGGGCATGCCCAGTCCAGCTTCCAGCCAAGAAGCTGCCCACCCGCGCTGCCCGGCTGCCGCGCGCTCGTTCGGTCCCCTCCCACGGAGATCCCGCCGCTCAGCAGCACAGAGCTCGGATCTGCCGGCTCAGGGCGGCTACCGCTCTGCGTGGGCTCCGTTGCGGTACATCGCGCGACAGGGTGCGCCTGGTGGAAGCCGGGCAGTCATGCGCTCGCCTCCTGTGGTTCCCTTCTCTCAAGGGTCACAATCCTGCGCAGCTTGCTGGTCGGTGCCTGAAAGCAAGTATTCAGTTGCCCCCTGTATTTTGTCCAGCTTTATAGTTGTCAGTGGCAGGAGGGAGAAGCCAGTTCCAGTTATCCTGTCATGGCCTGAAATGGAAGCTGAGCTTCAGTTTTGTTCCTGATGCTGTTTTTAGTATCTGTGAAACATCAAGTAGAAATGCCCAACAGGCTATTGGATATTCGTGTGGGGAGCTTGAAAGAGACGATTGGGGCTGCAGATTCAGGTTTTGTAGTCAGGAATTTACAACGGTAGTTGAAGCCAATGGAATGAAGGTGATGATCACTTAGCTACAGAGTGGTTTGAGAAGGGGTGGGAGAACATTCTTCTCCTGAAAAGCCTGGAAAGGTGTAGCGGAAGGAGGAGGTGCGGACCGGGAGACGCGGTGTCACAGAACCCCTGTTGAATGAAGTGGTGTTCCTCTGGGGAGCCGCAGCTGTCAGAACCCAGCCTCCTCTCTGTGATGCTCCCAGTCCAGAGCCCAGCTCTCCCCCGTGCTGCGGAGGGCTTGTCAGGGCCCACGGGGTGAGCGTTCTAGAAAACCTACAGATCCAGGCTCCAGTGCTCATCTGTAGAGTTAAAGCCACACCCGTCTTGAGAAGCCCAGAATTTCTTCCAGACATGATTATGTTTGTGCTTCTTACCTTCTTGGCGCTTAGATAGCTGACAAGTTTGATCATCATTTTCATACAATCGAGAGGAAAACCAGGGCTCTGGAGAGGTTAACTCTTGATTAAAGGCAGTTGTGAAGTCTGCCCTGTTTCCAGATTTAGTTTCTAGTTGTCTAGAGTCTTTGTAGGGTCTCAGACTTGGACATTGCTCTAGGTCATGTAACTACCCCCTTGTTTTTTAGGTGGGGACACGCACACTCATAAATGAGAGGGCTTTAACTAGGTATAAATAACGGAAATTCAGTGAAGTCAGCATAAGCAAAAAGAACTGATAAGCACACAGAGATAGCTGATGGAATTCAAAAGGCAAGGACAAGCTGAACTTGGAGAATAGATGAGAGCCATGACCTGGAGTGCTGGGGAGAAACTGGGAGCCCTCTTGTTTCCATTCTTTTCTCTGCTTTCTTCTGTGTCTCTGATTCATTCTTCCCTCAGTGTAAATTAGCTTTTTCTGCCACCCACCCCCGGAGAAAATGGTCACCAGCAACTATTCTTGAGTTTATAGCTTAGGAGAGAAGCCCTCCATTCCCCTCCGGGCAGGACAGAAGCCAGCCTGATTCTACAATCACAGCTTACATCCCCCAGAGAAGGTCTCAGTGGCCCAGTTGGAGCCATCTAGAGTCCAGCCCTTTGCAGCCAGGGGCTGGAGTCACATTGTCCTGCGCACATGGCTGCAGGGAGCCCTACCTCTACAACTACGGGGTGTAAACTGTCCGTGTGGGGAAGGATTTTCGCAGCGAGTAGCAAGGAGGCAGATGGCCAGACAGCCAGCCAGTAGATTTTTAGGACACTGGAGTTACATTAATAACCAGTGGCAGAGCCAGGACCAAAACCCACAGCCCCGGGTCCAGCAGCAGTCCTTCCTGAGGCTGCTTCACGTGGCAAAACAGTGGTAATTATTTGACTTAGTAACAAGGAGAAACAGACGGATACTCACTGCCTCAGGGCTCACTCCTGTTGGTATAAAGAAATAGAGGCCCCTCCCTAGGAGGCTAGGGGATCCAGAGAGCTAGGACCATAACAGCCAAAGGTGAGTTCCCTCTGTATTAGTCCAGACTCTTAGTTACAAGTTACAGAAACTCAGGTCAAACCTGCTTAAGCAAAAAGGGACTTCATAAGAAGGCCATTGAGGCCCCTCACAGAATTGAAGGAAGACTGAAGATTCAGGGCATCTTCCGGCATCTGGAGTCAGTACCAAGAGGAAATAGACACATGTGATCACTTTATTTTTTTCTCTTTTTCAGTTTTCATCTTTCCTTGTTTCTGCTTGGCTCTGGTACCACAAGGTTTTCTCCACAAGGTGGGGAACGTGGCTGCCAGCAATTCTGGGGTCATATCCTATAGCATCTGACAAAAGAGAAAAGAGAGTCTTCCCTGCTGATTCCAGGTGGAAAATCCCAGAGGAGGACTCTGATTGAGGGGATGGAGCCACATGATTGGCTGGGCCTTGTTCACTTGCTCACCGTGCGGTCAGGAGAAATTAGGGGATATTGTAAGAAGGGGACGGTAAGCAGGGTTGGTAAAAACCTCTTTGTTTTGTGTCTGTCCCCCAGGTGACCATGGAGGCTGGCGGCCTCCCCTTGGAGCTGTGGCGTGTGATCTTAGCCTACCTGCACCTTCCAGACCTGGGCCGCTGCAGCCTGGTGTGCAAGGCCTGGTATGAACTGATCCTCAGTCTTGACAGCACCCGCTGGCGGCAGCTGTGTCTGGGCTGCACTGAGTGCCGCCACCCCAACTGGCCCAACCAGCCTGATGTGGAGCCGGAGTCTTGGAGGGAGGCCTTCAAGCAGCATTACCTAGCCTCCAAGACATGGACCAAGAATGCCCTGGACTTGGACTCCTCCGTCTGCTTTTCCCTATTTCGCCGGAGGAGGGAACGCCGTACCCTGAGTGTCGGGCCAGGCCATGAGTTTGACAGCCTGGGCAGCGCCTTAGCCATGGCCAGCCTGTATGATCGAATTGTGCTGTTCCCAGGTGTGTACGAAGAGCAAGGCGAAATCGTCCTGAAGGTGCCCGTGGAGATCGTAGGCCACGGGAAGTTGGGTGAGGTGGCCCTACTAGCCAGCATTGATCAGCACTGCTCAACCACACGTCTGTGCAACCTCGTCTTCATGCCAGCCTGGTTCTCACCCTTCATGTTTAAGGTGAGTGTCCACATCAGGTGGATGGCCTCTCCGGTCCTGACCCCGAGCCTTGGCCTCTTCTCAGTGGGATTGGTAACCCCTTTGTTGTTGAAATTGAGAGTTTAGTCATTATTCCTATCACGCTGTCCTCTAAGTTCCACGCCAGTTGAGAAATAGGCACAGGGATCAATAGAGAGCAGCATTCTGCTTTATTCCTCACAAAGCTCTACTAAAATATGAGCCTTGGACTCAAGACCAAAATTGCTTTGTAATTCTTCCCTTCCTAACTGGACCAACTGGAGCCACAGGTGGAGCAGCTAGGTGGGAAAGCCAGCTTCCAGGAGATGCCACATGTGACAGGAAGCAGGGAACACTCCATGGCCATGGCACCATGCCCAGAGAAAGGGCCAAAGAGAGGGGAGGCTGTGCAGGAGCAGTGACCTTCAGCACTTAGCCCTGCCCTGTGGAAGGTCAAGAAAGTCAGGCTTTTACCAAGGGTGACTGAAGAGAAGCTCAGGAAATATCAGTCCAACACATTCTTTCTAGGAACACAGAGCAGAAGTTGTTCAAAGCAGAGAAGTATTGAGGTGTTGGTAGCTCCTGGCAGAACAGTCTACAGCTTTTGCATTGCCTAGAAACTGATTGCAACACCTCGATGAGGTACCTAGTCAAGAAAAATGATATTGCCACTGTTACTACCAATAACAACTAAATTGTCTCTCAGGTGTGCAATGACCATTACAGCACCAATCATTTACAATGTGCTTACTGTGTGCCGGGCATCTACTTTACAGCCATTATTAAGGTAAATGGTGTCATCTGCTTTTAGAGATGAGCAGACTGAGGCTCAGCAAGAGTCAGTGTCGTACCCGGGTCTCAGATTTAGTCAGGGACAGAGCTAGGGACTTTTCTGCCATTGTCTACTCCCGCTCTTGTCCCCTTCCCTTTGGGATTGGAAGGAGGGAGGGCCAGGCAACTCCAAATTATCTTCCTTCTGGTGCAGAGCAGCTCCCGAGTTCCTCTTGGGCCAGCTGACACATGCCTTGGTAGGGAAGGGAACGTGATCCGCAGGAGAGATGGCTTCTCTGTGTCCCCTCCTTAAAGAGCAGTTGGAGCACCGACTGCAAATTCTACCCCTGTCACATCCGCTCTCTCTCTGTCATTCCCCAGACAACATCAGGTCATGTCCAGTTTGACAACTGCAACTTTGAGAACGGGCACATCCAGGTCCATGGCCCGGGCACCTGCCAAGTGAAGTTTTGCACCTTCAAAAACACCCATGTCTTCCTGCACAACGTGCCCCTGTGTGTCCTGGAAAACTGTGAATTTGTGGGCAGTGAAAACAACTCTGTGACTGTTGAGGGCCACCCATCCGCAGACAAGAACTGGGCCTACAAGTATCTACTGGGGCTTATCAAGTCCTCTCCCAGTGTGCTCCCCACGGAGGACCCTGACTCTTTAATGTCCCTGGACCTGGAGAGCAGGGACCAGGCCTGGAGCCCAAGGACCTGTGACATTGTCATTGAGGGCAGCCAGAGCCCTACCAGCCCAGCCTCTAGCTCCCCCAAGCCCGGCTCTAAGGCTGGCTCACAGGAGGCAGAGGTGGGCAGCGATGGGGAAAGGGTGGCCCAGACTCCAGACAGCAGCGATGGAGGCCTGAGTCCCAGCGGTGAGGATGAGGACGAGGACCAGCTCACATACAGACTGTCCTACCAAGTACGGGGCCCGCGGCCTGTGCTGGGGGGCTCCTTTCTGGGCCCACCACTGCCAGGAGCGTCCATTCAGCTGCCCAGCTGCCTGGTGCTGAACTCGCTGCAGCAGGAGCTGCAGAAGGACAAGGAGGCCATGGCACTGGCCAGCTCCATTCAGGGCTGCCTCATCCGCAAGTGCCTCTTCCGGGACGGCAAGGGGGGTGTCTTCGTTTGCTCCTATGGCCGCGCCAAGATGGAAGGGAACATCTTCCGCAACCTGACTTACGCAGTGCGGTGTATACATAACAGCAAGGTCTGTCACAGGGCCTCCTCTGCAGACCCGTGAGGCCTTGTGGGGCCACAGGAGCAGGTTCTTGATTGGCGGGAGGGCTCCTGTGGCTGCGAGCAAAAAGGCTTTGATGGGACTGTTTTGCATTTTTTTTAACCATCATCTTTTGTCTTTTAAAGCTTTAGTGCGTGGCTGTGTATCCTAGTTGTTAGTTTAATTCTCTTTGTGAGCCGCTGCCACAGCATGACGACCGTCAGACAGGTGCCGTGTTCCACAACCAGGAAATGAACGTGGGCCACGCCACCGAGAGCGCAAATCTTAACCATTAGGGCTGGCTCAGCACTCCCCTTTTTTTGTTTAAACTTATAATGCACACTTGCCTCATGTCCGTCATCTGGTTTGAACAGGGCGGAAACTGTTCTCATTTTACAGAAGAAGAAACAGGGCCAGAGAGGGAAGGTGACCTACTAAGGGTCACTCAGCAAGTTAAAGGCAGACCTGGGGCTGGAGCCTACGTCTTCCACCTCCTTTCACTAGAGAAAATTCAGGGAGGCATGGTCGCTGCCGTCCATCCAAACTTGAGAAGGCTTCCCAGACGTGGAGATGTCTCAGCTGAGTAGGATGAGCAGAGGCGGGCAAGGAGGGTGGCTGCCTTCCCTCAGTGAGGGGCAGTAGATAATTATGGTCGGAGGTGGAGAGGAGGGCACCCCCAGTCTGGAGGGCGGAAAGGAGAGCCTGAGGAGGGAGCAGTCGGGGGTGTGGCCGAGATTTCTGGCCTGGGTGGCTGAGGCAATGGCAGGAACATGGGAGAAGGTGAGGGTGTGGAAAGATGCTGAGTGCAACTGAGTTTGGCGTGTCCGTGACATCTGGCAGAGGTACCCCCTGCTGCCCTGGGTCTGGAGCTCTGGTGAGAGCTGTGCCCTGACACACAGACCTGGGGCAAGTGCTGGCTGGAGTCATCCACCAGGAGGCACAGAGACTTGCACTGCCTCGGTTGTAGCCTCCTGAAATGCTGCCTGCGGGGACTTGTGGCAGGAACTGTGTGGCCAACCATTCCTAGTGAGGCTTTAGCAAGGAACCTAAGAATCCGATGTTCAGGGTTTTTGACTAAAAAAACTCCATAGTGTCTTGAGAGTACCCAGCATTGGGAACAATTATATCTAAGTGGCAGTAATATGAGCAGGGAGCTGTGGGCGGGAGTATGCGGCTCACTGGGATGGTCCTGTGCCCAGGAGCAAGGCCTTGATCCCGTCGCCAGAGCACAGTGCCCCATCTGGCTCCAGAGCGTCCCCAGGAGGGTGAGGGCTGGCAGAAGGAGCCCAGTGGCTTGGGGCTCCATGAAGAAAAGTACCACTGATTGCGCTGTTTTTTCTTGCTTCTTTGTGTATCTTGTAACTTTGAGCTCAAAGTCAGGCATCTGGTGCAGGACGTGGAGACTACAGTAAATCATACTTGGGTGTGGACGTCGTATGCCGCTCCTCCGTGAGGCTGTAGGGGCTGGGGTTTGGATAGGTCTGCTAGCGCTGGTTCAGATTTGTTGGTGTGATACGCTCACTGTATACAGGCTTCACATCCCGCTGGCGTGAGTGGTCCGCCGGCGGGCTCTCCTCTGCGGCAGGCCTCCCGTTTGCCACTGCTCCTGACACAGGTCTCTCCATGCTCCTCCCTCCCCGCAGCAGGCTGCTGTGCCTGTGGCGCTGGCTGGCCTGGAGGTGATCTGGGAGGGGTCTCCCGGCCCTGTTCTGAGGTAGCTGCTGGGTCGTGGGTCTACACCTTGGAGCAGGCCCTTTTCAGTGGTTCTGCCTCACCCCCAGCACAAGGGGGCTGTAATGATCTGGGCCCAAGGCGTTTTCCTCCCACCTTCCCCAGGGGTAAAGGGGCTTTTTTTTCTGTCCCCTTCTTGAAGAGTGACAGGGTTTGCTGCCCTTCCCCCAGCTGCTTAAGGCTTGTTCTGTGGGAAAGTTGGGGACAGAAATCCAGGAGGGGTTTAGTGCTTTTCCCACAGCAGCTGCTGCACTCTGCCCACAAGCGCCCACCACGGGGGAGGCTGTCCCCGCCTCCTGGCCTGTCCGCGAGCGCCTAGTGAGGTCCGTGGAGAAGTGAACAGATGCAACTACTCCCAAAGTTTCTGTGCTTGCTCACTAGTTCACACTTGGGCTTTAACGATTCGTCGGAACTGTTAACTGTGTTCTCCTTACCAGCTGATTTGGTGCCTGCATCTGTTCGGGGAGCAGGTGCTCGCGGCTTCTCCCCTAGGAAGGCCTGTTTTCCTTAGATTCAGGCTGAGGTTATCCTGAAACTTCAGCTCTCTGAGGGCTTCAAGAAACGTGATGTTTTGTGTATTATCTTCCTCTTGTAAGTGTGGGAACAGTGCTCTTTCCAACTTTCTCTGTCCTAAGCAGAAACTCAAAGCTTCTCCTTGAAATTGTACTTCCAATCTGCTTTACTTCTCTCAGTATTTTATCCTAATGTAATATGTTTTTATTGTTAATACACAATTGTTTAAAACAATATAAATATATTCTAGATTTTTAGTATAATTATTAAATATAAAAAGAAAACGTAAGCGGCAATACGTCCCCTCACTAAGCTGTGTGCTGAGTTACGGTGCCTGGTTTAAAGGCGGCTTCCTTGTACCGGTACTTCTCATGGTCCCTTAGTTTGGAGTTCCAGTGGTTTTTCCACCCCAGGACAGCACACCAAGAAGGATTCAGAATGGACAAGAACAGGCCTTTGTCTTATAAAGTGACAGGAAGGTGAGGGAGGAGAGCCTGGCCTCAGGTGCTTGCTCAGGCTGGGGAAATTTTGCGAAGGTGCAGGTGCGCGTGGAAGTGGTGGATCTGGAATTTGATTCCATTCAAAGTCGCTGTGCCCTTGTACAACCTGGGCAAATCTTCCCGTAACCCCAGTGCAGGTGGAGTTTGAAGACCACCAAACCCCATCTTTTGTAAGGGTCCACTCAGTTATTCTGCTCGAAAGTTGTGACTATGGAGCACACGGCCAGGCTTCGATCCAGGTTTTATGATGGAACTGGTGTGAGGCTGGTGGAGAGCCTGCAGGGCGAAGCCATTGCCCTGTCCTTGTGTGCTCCGGTGGGAGAGTGGCTGTGCTGGCACTGAGGGCCTCCTCTCACCCGCGGGTAGGAGAGCACCGACCAGATGCTAAGAGACTCAGGTGTTCCCTGAGTGGTTTTTCTAAAAACACTTGTGAGAGGAAAACAAATGGCTTTCTCTCTTCTGCTTAGATCGTGATGCTCAGGAACGACGTTCACCGCTGCAGGGCGGCAGGCATCTTCCTTCGCCTGGAGGGCGGAGGCCTGATCGCCGGCAACAACATCTACCACAACGCAGAGGCTGGCGTGGACATCCGGAAGAAGTCCAACCCACTCATCCTGGTACTTCTCTCTGTCCTTGTGCCCTGTCCAGGGTGGCTCTTGATTCTCAGAAACCTTTTTGGAGGATATTTAAATAAATACTGCTGTCTTGAATTTCTCTTGCTTCCTGCTTGCAAGTGGTTCCTACCCCTTCCTCCGTGTGTCCTCATGACTCAGGTCTCTTCCTCCTCCATGTATTGGGAGTGACTTTGGATGGGTCCCTTCCCTGCAGGCTCCTGATCAGTAAGACAGGGCCCTCCCTCAGCCCTTCCGTAGCTTTGAGTTTGATATGAATAAACACGATGTCTGCCCTAGAAGACAGTTAGGTCAAATATAAATCAAACACCATGTCAGTTTGTTCTTTACTCTAAAAAGGACGTCTGGGATATTTAGTTCTGAAGATTGTTTGGGAGGCCGTAGTGAGTTTGATTTTACACCAGCGTCGCCAGCGTGAAAGCCACGTAAAATCCTAGGAGAGGAGACCAGTGACATGAGAGACCAGCCCCTTTTCCCACTCTGGCCTTCCCTGAGAAGCAGACTTCCCAGAAATTGGGAAACGTGATGGACTTTTTATGGGCCTGCAAAAATAATAGCCACCCTTATGCATCGTGCCTATTATGTGCCAGACCCTGTTGTAAGCACTTTGTGTATATTTATTTAATTATGGCATCATCTTTATACAACCCCGTGGAGTAGAACTCTTATCCTCATTTTATAGGTGAAGACATTAAGGCACAGAGGGTCAAGGATCTTGCCCCAAATCACACAGCTGGTGACAGAGCCAGGACTGGAATGCAGGCAGCCTGACTCAGGGTTAACGTTCCTCACCGTCACATGCAGACTGCCCTGGCAAATGCAGGGAAAGCACAGTTCCCAGCTCTGTTTCAGAGACACCTAGCCAGTATCCTCATCCAGCCCCGCCTCTCACTATGTTCCTGCCGTGCAGCTGGTGTTTGCGCGGCCTCGGCTTAGGACATTACTGCCGCTTTTGCCAGAGAGGTGAGAGGAGTTTGCCTTCCCAGGGACGGGGGACAGGCCAGTTTAGCAGGTGGAGGTGAAGAGGCGTCACATATCAGTCCTGGCTTTGTGAACGGTGTGGGGATAGAAATGCTGTCACATAAGCCACTCTCTCCAAGCTTTGCAACCCTGTGAGGGACTTGGTTACTTGCTGGTTGCCCTGGTGAGTCTGCCAAATCCTTCAGGAGAAAATCCGGAAAGTAAGTAAGAATAAGAGAGCATGCGGCGTGGAATACTTTAAAGCAAACTAGAACTTTATTTTGGTGAAATCGCTTTGGAAGAGCAACAGCTAACTTCTTGGTTTAAGTATGGGATTGTATTCGGGCTATAAATTAACATTTAGAGTTAAACAACTTTATTATAATTTATTATAATCTAAAAATGTTGTCACTGCAAAAGCAACTAACTGACTGGGAAACAGAAAAACTAGGTTTCAGATCTGGCTCTGCCACAAACATACTGTATGACCCTGGGCCTGTTTCCCTGTTTGTGCAAAGAGGTCTTAGAATGAGTATCCCTAAGGGTCCCTGGAGCTTGGACACCTTCTGCGACCTCGTGCCCCTGGGACTTAGAACTAAGCCACCCAGAGCCACACCTTCCACAGGCCTCCCCTGAATGAGAATTGAGGACTAGGAGCCAATGGCCCCCACCCTTCCCCAGAGGTGGCCCCCTTGGGATTCCACGTGGCCCACGTTCTCGTGTACTGGGGTGCTACCCGTCCCTGAGAGGTGGGCTCCCTGGACCCTTGGCGGTGCGACCTGGCCGGATGATTGTGTGTTTGGGGGCTTCTTTGGAGGCTGAGAAACCTTCAGTAGCATGCCTTGCAGGTAAGGAGCAAGAGCCCTCAGCAGCACGTGCCGACTCCCTTCTTCCGGTCCCCCCACAGGCTCCCTGTATGCACAGTGCAGGAAGGGCAGGGCAGCAGCAGGGTCCACGCACTGTGTTGTGTGCTGAGATCTTCCAGTGAGGATGTGCTCTCCACTCTCTTGGTCCTGGCCCTCCGCGGGGCAGCAGGTGAGCACTCTGCTTCTTGCTGACATGTCTGATCTGTCTTCCGTGGTGTCTCATGTTCACCTGCAGTGTAATCAGATCCACCACGGCCTTCGCTCTGGCATTGTCGTCCTTGGCAATGGGAAAGGCATCATCCGGAACAATCAAATCTTTTCAAATAAGGAGGCTGGCATTTATATCCTGTACCACGGAAATCCAGTCGTGAGGTATGTGCCGCTGTGCCCAGACTATCTTGCTCACCCATGGTCCCTGCTTTCCTCTCTGATCTCTCTGTCTCCCTAATCTTTCTTTCCTCCATTTGAAAACAGTTTTGTTTACTGAAACTACTGTACAGATGCAAGCGAGGAAGAGACTTTGCCCATAATCCCAGCACAGTAGCACAACTGCTTTTGTTTCTGTGTTCCCTTCCAGTTAACTGTGAGGCCATGCCATTCAGTAAACATTACTGAGCTCTTCTGCTAACAATATCAAAGGTGAATGGGGCAGACTGCTCCCTCGGAGCTCACTCCGGTCTGGAGGACAGAAATAACTCTCAGGTAGACGTGGTGTAGAGATTTGACTCACATGATAACTCTAGTCAGTTGACAGTGGCTACCTAGGATGCTGTGTTAGGATCCGGAGGCCACATCTGGGCTCCGCATGGAAGATGCTGTGAGTAATCAGTGTTGAAGCCGGAGCTGGGAGGGGCAGTGGCCCTGCTGGGACCGTGGATCTGCCCTCCCAGCTATCGTGTGGGGCAGACTGTGTAAATGCTGTCCAGGTGGTACCAAGAGAGGGAGGGAATCATTCTGACTTGGGGTTAGTGGGAGGCCCCCTTTAGGAGGTGGCATTGCAGTTGGACTTTGAAATATGGGTGGAACTTGGACTTTCTTGGAGACGGGGAGTGACATTCGGAGTGCCGGAAATGACCCGAGCAGAGCCAGCAAAGCAGGGAAGATTCAGGGGTTAGCAAACGGCCCACTGTGGCCCGAGAAAAAGTCTGACACAAGGTCTGACATTGGTATAAAATGTTTTCAGTTGGGACTGTCCCAGAAAATGTTGCGTGCTGTGGTCACTGCAGCCTGACCTTTTATTCCCGTGTGGCAGCCATCTCCGCGGGCAGCATGGTGGGAAGGGGTGAGGAAAGAACGCCTTGGGCCGAATGAGGAAGGCCTTATGCAGACCACGCTGAGGAAGGGGAGTTTATTCTGTCTAGAGAATGGGGAAGTGTTAAAGATTTTTGAACGGAAGACTCGCACAGCTATGTCTGTGCTTTAGAAAATGACTGACAATAAGTGTGCAGCAAGTGCATTCTGAGGCTTTTGCCCTGCGTTATTCCGTAGGGACTTTTCCATGTTGTCCCACACCCTTAAATTTATCACTTGGGAAAGTTTCAGAATGTTCCATTGTTTTGATATTCCATAATTTTTGAAGCAGTGTTATCACTGTTAGACATCTATTTTTTTGCTGTTATAGTCAGTGCACTGAAAACAATTAGTGGTCATAGAGCTCTTGTTCCATCTTTTGCATTATTGCCTTAAGCTAAGAGGTTGTGTTTGGGTGTATGCTTTTATTCATTGACACACAATTAAGTGTTTCCTCTACGTAAGGGGACAGTGATATGAAAGTGTGCGAGAACAGGCTCTGCTCCCTGGAGTTTCCAGTCTCATGCTGGGGATGGACACACACAATAACCATGAGGGAAGACTCAAAACAGTCACCTTAACAGGTCTTCACGAAGTGCCACAGGAGCCCCCCACGATTCCAGCTGAGCGATTCGGGGCTGGGCACAGGGGAGCTGACATCTGAGTTGTGCTTGTAGGGTAAACAGGATGTTATGGCCAGGGAGAAGGCTTTCTGGGCCCAGAAGTGCCGGGGTCCCGCCCTGGCGGAGTCCAGGTTCCTGAGGGATGGACGGCGTCGGCGCGATGAGGGAGGGGGAAAATAAAGGGGACGTGAGACTTGGGTTGGTGTTAGCAAGTCCCACTTTACTGTGCACAAGTGTCGTTTATATATTTTTCAGGATTAGTACAGAAATAGTTTTACAAGTATTCTCAGAGAGATAAGGAAGTAAGAAACGAGCACAAGAATATTTATTAGCATTCCATTCTATAGAGCATAAGGTTAATGATCGTCTTCTCTGCAATTAACTAGTGTTTGTTGTCTCTAAGCTAAAGGAGATAGGTACCTAGGCGTCTGTTGTAATTCATGGTAAAGTTAAATCAAAGAGAGAAGGTCCAGGCCTCCGGACAGGACAGCAGCCCGTCTGGTTACATCCTGGTGGAGCCATCCCTGCCTCCCTCAATCATTTACGCCATTAGTGTAGATGGTTAATGGGAACAAAAGGCGACTCCAGGGTGTCTTATCCCCAGGGCTATCTGCATTCTCAGCGGGCAGTTAAACATCTTTACTTTTTGGCGCCCTTTACGGGGTGGAAGCATTCCTTTGTCTTTTAGATTGTAGAGCTAACAGTCCCTTAAGCACACTGCCGGAGAAAGTATCATATTGTTAGTAAAGTAAAGGGCTGAAAAGCTAAACTAAACTATATATCTTCAAGAATAAAAAAGAGAAATAAGTATACACATAACCTTGATAGAAAGCATGCATATAATTCAGAAAATATCGGGGGTGTTGGCCAGCCATCCTTCACCGAGGGGCATTCTTGCACCCCTCGGCCCTTCTACTCACCAATTATTTATTATTTATTGCTTTTAGGAGAAAACCTCTATAACATTTTAACAGAAAGAAGAAGGTCAAGAATAATATGTAGATACTTCTTGATCATCCAATTAACCAGCAAACTTAGAAGGACGATGCATATATATTTAGACAAAGAACTGGAGGGAGAAGGAAACATTAACCAGATGGAGGCCATAAACCTAATTCGACATCTTATCTGGGCAGGATTCCTTTCTGATTGTCTCACATGGGACTGTGTGCTCCTCCATTAATTAACTGAAAAATATCTTGAAAGTTACCTGCAGGTGGTCACATTCTCTTACTATATCTAATTTTCCCGGGAGGTAGTGCCTCCCAAGCAGCCACCCAAAGGAGTGAAAACTGGAGGTTAAGATAGGAAGAGGAATGAAGGGCAATTAGAAGCAGCACAGGTTTCAGAACTATGTGAGGGGCTGGCCGGTTATTCTTCACCAAGGGGCGGCCCTGCACCCCTCGGCGTTAATCGGCTGGACCCTGTCAAACAGCCGATCAAATGATGTAGCCACGGCTCCCAGCACAGAAGCAGTGAAATTCAGAGTGTGTCCTGGGAAGATGGTGAAAAACGTGGTATTTTTGGGCACAAGATGCCCGGGGAGGGTTGAGTAGATCACCCTACAAAGGCAGGTTGATGCTGGAGCACAGAGGACCTCGAATGCCAAGTGTGGTGGGTAGAATAATGGCCCTCCAAATACATCCGTGTCCTAATCCTTGGAACCTATGAATATGTTACCTTGCACGGCAAAGAGGCTTTGCAGATGTGATTAAGTTAAGGCCCTTGAGATAGGCAGATGATCCTGGATTATGTAGGTGGGCCCAGTGTCATCGCAAGGGTCCTTGAAGAGGAAAGCAAGAGGGTCAGAGTCAGAGAAAAGGAAATGTGACAACAGAAGCAGAGGTCAGCGTGATGAGGCCACAGGCCAAGAAATATGGGCATCCTCTAGAAGCTGAAAAAGACAAAACTCGATTCCCCCTATAGCCTCCAGAAGGCACGCGGGTCTGCTGACGGCCTAATTTAGTGCCATAGGCCCGTTCTGTCCTTCTGATGTCCTGGACTAAAAGAACGGAAATCTGTGCTGTGTTAACGCACCAAGTTGGTGGTCATCTGTTCTAGCAGCCGTCCCCCAAGCCAGCACGTTTGGAGTTTACCTGGTGGGTGCTGGGGAGCTGTCGAAGGTGTGGAGCAAGGAGGATTACAATCAGATCAAACATAGTCCCTTTGAGAGAACAGGTTGTGCTTTTTTCCTTTCCGTTTCTTTGTGATGGAAGGTGGGGGTCCAGGGGAGAGTACAGAATGAATTTTGAGATCCCTGAAGTGGCCTGAATAAGTCAAACCACAGCATATCTTTGTTGCCAGTGAGATTTCTGTAACCTGTTATGGTTTTCTTTGCGCCATGGCTGCAAGGAAGCCCAGGGCTCAAACTAGCTCATCTGCACTCAATACCCCACCCTTGGTTCTTGGAACAATGATCTGTCCCCATTTCCTAAATGTTTTCTGGTGCTTCTTTGATCTCTCTCCTGCCCGCCCTATGTACACACACATACATGTTTCTCCAAGGGGCCATGGTTCCTTTCTGGAGGTTAGTGGGATTTGTATTAAAAATATGCCAGCTGTGCATTTGCTGCTATGGCACAGCTCTCAGAAATCTGGATGAGGCACGCCCTAGGCCAGGGACTGCATCTGACTGTGAATTCTAGAAACCCACAGGAGCCATCAGCTGGTTGAATTGTCATCAGACCAAAGCAGACTCTTCAAGTCTGTCTGAGGAAAAAAATAGGGATGTTTTTAACAGATAATTTCACTTGTTGAATTCCAAAACGCATAGTGTAGATGTGCTTGACATCTGGCTTTCCCAGCATCAATATAATTTGCTGTTTTTTCCCCAAGGAAGTAGACCATTTTGACCCCACCAGGAGATGGGAAAACTTAATCAGCCAACTCCTACCCAGTGATGTTCTGTGGGGTGCCAGGCCTTGTGTTGGCCGCTGAAGGGCCAGATGAGTATTTGGACCTACATTCCTCAGCCACAGGGTGGGAAGTGGGAGGGCGACCTCCTGAGAGACAGGCAAGGAGATCACAGCATTCCTGTTAGTAAACATCAACAGCAAATGTGTGTCCTCCAGGGGTAACCCGAATCTGCTAACGTCTGGGTATGACTGACTTTGTTTTTACAGGCAGGAATCCAAGGTGCAGAAAATGGAAAGAAATGCAGGGCCCTTAACATGCTCAGGTGTCTGGTTTTGAGGAACTCACTTGCAAGGCCTTCATATGGTGGTCAGGGTTGTGTGTGTGTTTTTCTGAGCAGGAGCATGTTTTCCTATATCTTCCATTTGTGCTGACCCAACCCATGAGGTTTCACATACACGTCATCTGATGGTCTTAAAACCTCCTTTTTCAAAATCTGGTTTTCTTATTTTAAGGCGTGTTGTTATTTTATGATGTCATTCAGTGGATAAGTGGTTGAGTTAACAGAAAATAAGGTAAAGAGTAGCTGTTGGATACAAACAGATCTCAGGCTTGTCACAGAGTGTGATTCAGGCTCTCCCACAGACCACTCCCAGACAAGCTTAACACAGCCTCCGAGGAATTCTTGATGCCACCAAAACTTTACCTGTGACCTGTGCAGCACAGCGACATCCGTCTAAAATGGTGTTTCCTTTGGACGCCGGTCAGGAGAGGCCGCAGAGACTTGGAGATCATTGTGCTTCTGTGGCATGGTTTAGGATTAGTTTTTGGCCACTGATGGCTGAAGATCGCTCGAGGCCTGGCTTCTAGTACTGCAGGAGGCGCTGCATGCCCTATGGGCCTGAGTCATGTGGGGAGGCCACAAAAGCAGGCAGCCACCTTGGGTGGGCATTGTCTTCGACGCATGACATTGGTCTAGTCTCACCTCTGTGTCTTCTTCTCCTTCCGTTCTAGTGGGAACCACATTTTCAAGGGCCGAGCAGCCGGCATCGCAGTGAACGAGAATGGCAAAGGCCTCATCACAGGTAGGGGTGGGAACCGCCTGGAGCCCTCGGCAGCTGAGCGAGCACCCTGAGTGAAGCCAACATCCCTGCTTCACCCCCGCCCGTCGTTCAGCTCGACAGACTGGCCGTCCTCTCTGAATAGTGGCTAGCGCTCGAGGACTCGGCTCTGTGCACTAGCCGTGCTCATTACCAGGAGGGCCTGGCAGGGAGGGAGCGCCTGCCCTTTGCCAGGCTCAGTGCTCACAGGATCTCACCGGATGGCTCACGTAACAGTGTGGGAAACGTTTATGCCACACGAACTGTCTGAGCCCTTCTCTTGGCTTTTGTACGGGCTTGTGCCTGCTCTGGAAGTCCATCCTCATCTTCCTTCTGCCTGGCTAACTCCTGCTCATCCTTTGGGCCTCAGCCTAAGTGTCACTTCCTCAGGGAAGCCTGTCCTGCCCTCCCATTATACACATGTACATGCACTGTACCCAGTAGGACGTTTTACCTAATTTCTTAGTGATCTGTTTAACGTCAGTCTCCATGGCTGTAAGGCAGTAAATTCTATAAGGCAAGGGCTCCATTCTGTCAGGCACATCGACGTCACCTCAGCACAGAGTGCACCATACCTGGGACATAAAAGAGATTCAGTAAATATTGGTCCAGTGAGTCCCCTGACTGAAGCCAGCCTGCCTTCAGTCGTCAGACATTTACTGGGCACATACTGTTTTGGGAACTGGGGATTCAGCAGTGAGCAAAAGAGATACCATCCCTGCTGTCAGGAAGGGACATTCTAGGAGGGGAAAACAAAGAAAGAAAAGCATACATATGCAGGAAAAATCACATCTGAGGGTGGTAAGTGCTCTGCAGATAATTAAAGTGAGGTGATGGGGGACTATGTGGGTATTTAAGATTGTGTGGTCAGGGCAGGCCTTTCTGAGAAGGTGACACGTAAGACAGAACCTGAAAGATGGGGAGGAGCTGGGGAAAAGAACCGGAGTCCCACACGGGGGCCTGCGGGAACAGACTTGGCGTGCCCGAGAAGCAGCGAGGTCACCTGTGTGACTGGGGTGTGAGTGAGGGGCAAGGGGTAGGAGAAGCTCACAGGGCAGAAAGGGCCATCACACAGGGTCTCCTGAGCCACTGCCCTTCAGTCCCAGGAGGCTGGGCGTCCACCCTGCTACGTGCTGGGGGCAGCAGTGTCCTGGGCTCACCCCTGCTGACTCGTGGCTCTTCCGCCCACCCCCAGAGAAGAGAGATGGCTGTGGGCCACCCAGAGCTGAGGCTGAGGAGGGCAGGCTGGTGCCTCCCCAGGCTTGTGGGGGAGGGATGGACTCTGCTTCAGCCCTCCCGGAAACAGCCCTACAGCACAGATGTCCCTGCCCGGCCTTGGTGCAGGGACTCTAAAGCCAGTTTATTCTTAGTCATCAGTCTTCAGGGCCGTGGGTACAGTGGTTACTGGGGATATGGCAGAGCACATGACAGAAAGACAGGCACAAACCGTGCCCTTGGGGGAAGCAGACAGCAGACGAGTCCTGGGAAAGCCAAACACCAGACGCAATTCTGGGTGCTGACTGCTGACAGGGTAAGGCCTGGGCGTCCTGGTCTGGCCTGTCCGGGCCCTCGTTGCCAGCACTGTTGGTGGAGGCCCTTGGGCCTTGACTCTCTTTTCTGCCTCTCTCCTTAGAAAATGTGATCCGTGAGAACCAGTGGGGAGGTGTGGACATCCGCCGTGGTGGGGTCCCCGTCCTCAGGAGCAACCTCATCTGCTTCGGCTACTCAGATGGTGTGGTCGTGGGGGATGAGGGCAAAGGACTGATAGAAGGAAACACCATCTACGGTGAGGAGCACACGCCCTGGGGAGGGGCTGGGGTCCACCCCAGCCTGGGTGCGGGAAGCCTGGGTTCCAGCTCCAGCTCGTGGGTCCTGAGAAAGTCGCCGTGGTTCCCTGGCTTCAAAGCTTCCCCTGAGGACAGCATGGGTCTCAGGCCACAGCCACACAGCCCTCCCCGAGGCAGGAGCTCTCGTAAAGCACCTCGTAACCCAGACTGACTCCGTGGAGTCAGCAAAGCAGAGAGCTTTGTCCTCATGTAAAACAGCGAAAGGCAGGAGTTGGATCTGGAGTGAGGACGGGGCCTTGGAAGCTCTGACACGCTGGCCTCTGACTCCTCCATCCTTTCTTCTGATCCAGAGAACTGCAGATAGCAGGGGAGAAATAGGGTAATCGTGGAAAGAACATTGTTCTCACTCACTCTGTGACTTGGGCAAAGCCTTAATCTTTCTGGACTGCATCTCTAATGATAGTAATAATAGCTACCCTGTATCTGGGCTCGACTCTCTGCTAGGCCCTTATATGCAATATCACATTTAGTCCTCATGGCTATCTTCTGAGGGAGGCCCAGTCATTAACCCCGTTTAAAGATGAGGAAACTGAGGCACAGAGAAGTTTAATAACCTGCCCAAGGTCCCACAGCTAGGAAAGGGGTAGGGCTGGGATTCAAACTGAGGCTGCCAGCGTCTCTGTGCAGGGAGGGGTTGGGCTGGATGAGCTCCGAGGGCCGCTCTAGCACCATCACTATGGGCTGTGTGCTTCCAATCTGGAGTGTGGCCTGGACCATTCTCAGAGCACTCTCACCCCCAGTGCAGGGATCCTCGCTGTGAGCTTGACCTGGCTGTTGTTATCCCTCTTGAGTGAAGGAGAAGCCTGCGGCCAGAGCCTTAAAGCGATTGTCCGAGGCCATTAGCCTCCAGACTCTCTCCCGGGCCAGGGTCTTTGTTGCTTCCCCTCCTGGGGAGACACCGGGTGCTGCCTCAGCTGTTGCTCGGTGTCAGTGACCACCAGCACCTTTCCCTGTCCCAGCTAATAAGGGCTGTGGTGTGTGGATGATGTCGTCCAGCCTGCCCCATGTCAGCAGCAACCACGTCAGCTACAATGGCCTGTACGGAGTGGCAGTGTTTAGCCAGAAGGACGGCTCTGGGGAGTTCCCTGGAGGCCATGGGGCCCAGGAGAACTTCAGCGAGGATGGGGACGCCATCCTCTGGGAGACAGAGCTGGAGAAGGACGACGACCCGCTGCGCCGGCCCGTCACCACAGCTCTGGTCGAGTCAAACAGCATTAATCACAATGGAGGTGAGGCCCCCCCAACCCCGCGCCTACTCCGGAGCCTTCATAAGGCCCTTCACCCACTGGCCCTTCCAGCTCACTGGCCGTTAACCCGATTCCCCAGCCCCCTGGGCTTTGTGTTCCTTGAACTTGAATCCATTCTTTCCTTCCGCCACCCCGACTTTGCTCGTGCCGTTGGTCTTGCCTGAAATTCCCCTTCTCCCATCCACACATCCCAAACGACGTGAACCTCAAAGCCCCGCGCCCAGTCCTCCCTTGAACGTGGCCCCCCAGCCCCAGTGGCGCTTGTTAGGGGGCCTGGGACTGCCTTTGTTTCTGTGGCTGTTTGTTTCATCAGCTCTGATGGGCTGCCGGCTTGAGGCAAGGAACAGACTCCCACTCCTGCGGGTGCCGCACGCCCCAGCAGCGCCAAATCCCGCATCCGGCGTCCGCATCTCTAATCTGCTCAGAGACGCATTTCTCACATTTTAACCTTAGCATAAGATGCATTTAATATGCATCCTGCAGTTGATGGCATATCATGGTTTAATTAGCAGTGATTTTTCTTAGAGATACAGAAAATGAGTGTGTTTTAAATCCATGTCATCTTAGACTTGATAAAAAATGATAGTAAGCATTCGATGTTTACTGAATTGAAAAAGAAACTTACTGTGGAGGTCGTCTAACTCCAGGGCTCCCAGACCGGGCTGACTATCAGAATCGCTGTGGGGCTGATGGAGGAGGGTGTGTTAGAAAGAGGCCCCTGGCCCTGGTAAGCCCCTTCGTCCGGGAGCGGCAGAGGGCGGGGAGACGGGTAGCCAGCAGCCCCAGCCCACTTGCCTAGGAAATCAGCTCTGTCCCCTGTCAGTTCAGGGTTTCCTCCATGTGGCAATGCATCTGGTAGGACAGGCAGAGCCACATAAATTCACACACACTTGATTGATATTTGCTGTTCTCAACCAAGCCAGGAGGAGCAACAGACAGGTGCCACCAGGAGGCTGGGCCCGGCAGACTCGCCACCCCAGCTGCTCCCCATGACCTCATCCTTGTCCTCCCCACACCTCTTCCCAGTGCCACCCCTGCTCTTGCTCCTGTGGTGGGTGGAGGTCACCATTGAGGCGTCCTCCTCCGCACCCCGAGTCCACCTGCCGTGCTCTCTCTTCCTGACCAAGTCATGCGGCTCTGAGCCAGCTGACTTTGTGCTTTTTTTCTACAAACGTATAGTGTCTCTAAACATATACAACCTCACACACCATTTTCTTTTCAAAATTTGTAACACATTTTAGATATGTATTACTTAGCTTAATAAATTTCTCTACCCCAAAATTATAGAATTTCCCTTAAGAAAATTTCCCAAAACAGTGGAGAGGCAGATTCCAGCTCAGTATGGGAAGGAAAACAGAACAACTTTCCAGCAGGTAGATGTGTCTGTCTAGAGGTGGAATGGGCGGCCTTGGGTGGGTAGTGAGCATTCCGTCACAGGAGGCGCAAATGGCAGGATGATGATGTGGGAGGCATTCAAGCTCAGGATGAGCCCTAGGCCAGATGGCCAGCTGAGCCTAAGGAATCTTCTCGCATCACGCTTCCCTGGCTGTTGATGAGGACTTAGTTCAGAAGGAACAGAGTTTTCTTGATGTTCCTGGGTTCCTTCTGCTCTGTTTGCCGTCTGGCCTGTTGGGGCGCTTCCCGCGGGCTGGTTCGGAGTGTACTACCCACTCCTCCCTCTCCGGGGTGCAGTTCCGGGAAGGCTCCTCCTGACTGGTGTGGCCGGGGCTGGCCCTGGCACTGCCCTCTGCTCTCTCTGCTCCCCAACCCCTTTGCCACAGCCTCGGGACTCTACGTCCAGAGCAGCGAGGCGCTGCATATCGTCACCAACGTGATCCATGCTAATGGGGACAGAGGCATCACTGTGGCTCAGAGCGGCCAGCTCACCCGTGTGGCCAACAACAGCATCTCCTGCAACCGCCAGAGTGGGGTCAAGGTCGAGGCCCAGTGCAAGGTAGAGCTCCGGGGCAACGGCATCTATGACAACAGAGGCCATGGCATCATCACCAAGGGTGACAGCACCGTCGTCATTGAAAACGACATCATCGGCAACCGGGGCAGTGGGCTGCAGCTGCTGCCCAGGTCCGACACTAAGGTGTGTGCATGCGTGTGTGACGTGTGGTGTCAACACAGGGCACGGCCCTGGGAGGGCCCTCGTGCCCTCTGCTGAGGAGCAGAACCTTAAGCACTCAGCACTGCAAGGGGCCTCCTTCCGCCTGCCAGAACTCAGCCTGGGAGACGCAGGCGGGCCTTCTCACGGGAGGGGACATATGAACTGGGCCCTGAAGCATGAACAAGAGTTACCAGCAGGAAGCCAGGGTGAGGGTGCCACCTGCGGTTTCTTCGTGGTCTCTGGGTCAAGGGCAGGGCTATTTCAGCTCTCTTCCCCTGACAGAATAATCGCACACAGGACCTGGTATGCAGTAGGTGCCTAATGAGGAGAGAAATCTTGCCTTGGGCCCTTTGCACACACTATTCCCTGTGTACCTGGGATATCCTTCTCCCCGTTTTCCTACCTCAGTCCTGCGGCCTGGCTGTCACTTGCTTCAGAAGGCCCCCCGACCCTCCAGGCTGTTTGAGGTGCTCCTTTACTGAACTTTAAGGTGCTTGTGCCCACCCCCCCCAACCCCATACTTCCCAGAGCACTTCCCTCAGTGCTTTGTTTCTGTTCCTCTGCCTGCCTGTCTCCCCTGCAGGACAGCCAGCTCTAAGCTCCCTCTTTTTTTTTTTTTTTTTTTTGAGGAGGATCAGCCCTGAGCTAACATCTGCCTCTAGTCCTCCTCTTTTTGCTGAGGAAGACTGGCCCTGAGCTCACATCTGTGCCCATCTTCCTCCACTTTATATGTGGGATGCCTGCCACAGCATGGCTTGCCCAGTGATGCATAGGTCCACACCCGGGATCCGAAACAGCGAACCCCAGGCCACCAAAGTGGAGGAGGCAAACTTAACCCCTGTGCCACCAGGCCGGCTCCCTGAGCTCCCTCTTTCTGTGAAGCATTGTGCTGGGGGCTGGGGCTGCAGTGCTGAGCAGACAGACCCAGTTCCTGCCCTTGTGAAAGTACCATCCCAAAGCCTCTTTTTGGCTCTGTGGCTTCATGAGTAGGGACTTAGGCAAGGAGTGAAGAATTCCTTGTCTTTGCAGCTGAGCACTGTGGGAGCAAAGGAGCAGAGGGGGCACGCCTACCCTGGTTCGGTTGCCAGCGGCCCTGGTCTCTGGCTCCACCTTCCCTCTCTGCCAGGCCTTGCACGTTGTTCCTTCTTGGAACAACTCTTCCCTGCTCTGCACTGGATCAACTCCTACAGCTTACTCATCACCTCCTCCAGGAAGCCCTCCCTGGTTCCCCCAGGCTGGTCTCAATATCCCTTCCCTGAACTCCCATGATTCAGTGCTGACCTACCGGGCAGGCTCTTCCCCCTCAGTTTTATTGGTCATTCACTTGCCTGGCTCCCCCCTAGTCTGGGAGTCCCTGAGGTGTGACAAGCTCTGGCTGCCTCTCTCAGGTAATAAAGAACAGGATCCATTCCTTCCGGGCCTATGGCATCGCAGTGCGGGGCCGCGCCAAGGCCCTGGTGCAAGAGAACATCATCTTCCAGGGCAAGACCAACAAGACCATCTTCCAGCAGATCTCCAACAACCGAGACTGCGTCATGCAGAACAACAAGTTCTTGGTCTTCAAGAAAAAGTGAGTGCCTGGGGTTGCCCGACTCAGTCCTGGAATCGCAGTGAGGGCCCCGGGGAAGCCAGGCCAGGCCCGGGGGTGCAGTTGCCCCTGCCCACAGTCCTGTCACCTTCACCTCTGGTGGCGTGGGGGGACGGTGCTGGGCTTGGGCTTTGGTTGGGGCCTGTCTGGGGACCTGCGCCTGACTCCCTGGGGGAGCAGCTTCGAGAGTCAGAAATGAGCTTTCAGATCTCAGCTCTGCCACTTACTGGCTGTGTGGCCTCCGGCCAGTTGCTCAGCATGGGCAGGCGAGTGAGCTAGCCGAGGGGTCCCAGGCATTACAAAGGGAGCCACCGCCTCTGGTCACTGGGTTTAGGCCCTCTGCCTTGTGCCTCGCAGTTGCCTCAGGCGCGCCTGCCCCGGCCCTCTTTCTTTCCCCGTTCCCCATTTCGATGGCGTCACCCTCCGCTCAGTGCTCTGGCGGCAAGCCCTTTGCCATTCGCCCCCCTGCACCAAAATTCAGTCACTCGCAGGTCCTCTTGTTCTGCTGCTGATGTGTCTGCCCCTCCCCGTCCCCCCCCCCCAACCCCCGCCACCTCGTCCAGGCCTCAGCACCCTCCCTCTTGCCTGTGGCCCTTGTTACCGTACACCTACTCCAGTAGTTCATGGACGGACTCTGTTCCGACTGGTCGGTACTTTGCTCTACCGGTTGTAAAAATAGTAATTCTTATCACTCCTGCACGGTAGTTACTCCCCCCTCTCGTGTTGCAGCGGCCTCCTGCCTGGACTCCCTGCCCTTAGACCCCCACCCCCACCCCGCCCCGCAGGCTGTCCTGTGCTGCCTGCCAGATTCATCTTTCTAAGTCACTTCTTGTCATGTCCCGTCCATGGTCAAAAACCCTTGATGGATCCCCTTTTTCTATCTATAGTAGTGATCTCTACTCTTTATTGTACACACTCTTAGTAGAAATATTTTTTGAGGAAACCCCCTCATATGTATGTTTATATATTCCTAATTTATAAAGTATAAAATAAAAAATAAGTAGAAATTCTAATATTTTCTTCCCACATTCCAGCAAATCATATAGTGGACTCCCTGGGGTCCACTTCCCCTTCCCCCTTGGAGACCCCAGGGTACAGGATACGGCACAGACCTGCCAGCCTGGCATTGTCCCTATGCCCTGTCAGCTCCTGGTTTTCCTTTCCAGCCCTCCGTTTTCATCACTCCTTTTCAAGAGCTCTCTCTGCTGCCAAACTCAAACGCTTGCAGCTCTTTGAACATCCGTCCAGGCTTCCCCCTCTCCCCACTGTAGCCAGTCTCTGACTCTCTGCACACCTTTACAGTCCTACTCGTTGTGACATTATTATCAGAGAAGTACATAGAAGACATTGTTGCTGGCTTAAGTAATTTAGGATTTGCTGTAAGACGTGGTTCCTTGTAACTCAGACAACAGAAAGCCCTAATCGAAGCTTCATTCTCATTTGATTTTCCCCAACCCTCATAATCTCCATAAGAGCTCGAGGGTCTGGAACCCACCACCTTCTGTCCCGTATAGATTTGCATTTTCCAGAGTGTCATATAAATGGAATCATACAGTATTTAGTCTTTTGAGTCTGGCTTCTTCACTCAGCATAATGCCCCTGAGATTCACCCATGGTGTCACGTGTCATTCATCCTCCTTGTCGCTGAGTGGTATTCCACTGTATGGATGTGCCACGGCCTTTATCCATCATCACCTGAAGGGTATGTGGGTAGTTTCTAGTTTTTAGTGATTATGAACTAAGCTTTCATAAACATTCATGGTCATACAGCTAGAAAAAAAAAGGAGAAAAATTAGAAAAAAAGAAAGCCACTCATTGGATCTAGATCCTTACTTAAAGACGAGATCACGGAGGCCTGTGGAGGGCACTTGGCCAATGTCACATGCAGAACTGAAGGCAGAGCTGGAGCTAGAACTAATTTCACACACGCCCCTCCTCCTTCTGCCGTCACTGGCCTGGGAGACGCCACCTCCACCCAGATCCAACACCTGGACCTGGTGAGCCTGAGCCACAGTGAGCTGTGCGGGGCTTTCAGCAGCTGCTCTGGGCTCTCAAAGAGTTTGGTGACTATCCTTTTGCACCTGTAGGTCTGATACGTGGCGCCTGGTGAACCCACCAGCACGGCCTCACCTTGACAACTCTCTCCGAGGCCCCTCTGCAGCCCACGGTGGGCAGAAGGTGACGGCCATGGCGACCAGGATCACAGCCCGTGTGGAAGGTGGTTACCACAGCAACCGCAGCATCTTCTGCACCATCCTGTAAGGATGGAGAGCCACACAGCGGGTAACTGAGGGGCTGTCCGAAGACTCCGCGAGCAGCAACCATATACCTTGCTCTCAGGCTCGGGCCTGGCAGGTGCTCAGCCGGGCTAAGAGCTGAGGCCTTCAGGATGGAGGAAGTAGCGCCTGTGCCGGCTCCAGGCCCCTCTCCATCTTCGTACCCACCACCCCCTGAAAAAACAGGCTCCCAGGCCTCCGGGGCACTGAGAACAAAGTATCTCCAAAACCCTTCGGCTCCAAACCCTCTGCAGGAAGGAACTCGGTGTGAGTTTTCAAGAAGAAGAAGGCACAGAAGTTGGTGGGTCCCCAGTAAGTGAAGCTCTTGCAGAGATTTGGAAGAGCTGGGGGAAACCGACACTGCGCCGTGCGTCGGGGTGTCCGTGTGAGTTACGGGGAACGGCGTTTCTCACAGCCTGCACCCAGCCTCTTCTCAGGGAAGAGCAGATTTACTCCTAAGGGAGAGAAGCGATTCTAGTGAGGTGGAAAGAGGCAGCTGCCCAGAACTTCCCCCTGTCCTGGACCTCTCTCCATCCCTCCAGGGACACCACCACACCCGCCCAGCTGCCTGCGGAGGCCGGAGGAGTTGGGTTTCCTTAAGGACACAGTTCTCAGACTTGGACATGGACCTGTGAGGGAGGAAGGGGCTTGGGACAGGGAGCCCCTCTTGAAAGGCTGCCCCAGGGGTGACAAGGGACATGCTGAAAACAGGAGGGGCGTTTGGAGAAGGCTTCCTTCGAGTGGCTCTGGTGCCAGGCTGGGCGGCGAAGGAGGCACGTGACTCTACCCTCAGTAAGCTCCCAGGCTCAGGAGGACGTTGGGTGGGTGCCTGCTGCACCAGGAGCATGTGGACCCCACCAGCACGCCCGCCCCGGCTGCCCCTGGAGATGGAGGTGCTGGGCCCCCGTCTGTGTCCACATTCTTCATGGAGAACCACCTGCCTTTACGGTCCCTCCCGTGGTTTCCCACTCCGTGCCTTGGCCCGTGCTCCTGCCTCTTCCTGACATGCCGTCTCCCACCCGCCCACGTCCAGGTCCTACCCATTCTCCAGGGTCGAGCTCAGACACTGCCATCTCCGCAGAGCACCCCCCTCCCACCACATGACCGTGCCCTTCCCCTGAGCCGCCTCCGCCCTTTCTCTGCCCTCTCAGGGTCCTTTCTGCCTTGATCTGGAGCTATCCAGGTCCGTCCTTGTCCCACTCACCTGCCTGTGAGCCACCTGAGGGGAGGGCCATGTCTCACTGTGTCCCAGCACCCATCCAGGCGCTGGGTGGGGTTAGTAGCGTGAGTGAGGAGGAAGGCTGGCTCCCCAAGGGCTTTACTGAACCCTACTGTGAATGTGTCAAGGTTCCAGAGCCAGGCGGCTCTGACCGACTGCGGGAGGAAGGGGTCCCCCTTCCCGCTTGGCCTTTCATGCAGGGCCTTCACTGGCCCGTTGGGGCCATCGTCAGGCACTAGGCCCCTGGCTCCCAGGCTGGCTTTGCCAGGCCCCGGTGCTGCTCTCCTGGGTGGGGTGGGGGAGGCTAGAGGGAGCCAGGAGCACTGGCTTCACCCTGAGGACTTTGGGCCCCAAGAGCGCTGGCCCCTCTCATCCCCAGCACCGTCCTTTGCACTTCTCTGGTGGCCCCAATGTGAGTCGCTGTACAAAATGCTGCCTTTATTATTTTGTAAGAAATGACTTTTCTGTGAACCAAGTGCTTATAAAAATCTTGGCAACCAAAATAAACTTCTCTATTTTAAGAGGCACTTCTGGGGGGACTTTCCTTGGTCTGGGTATCTGCCAGCGTTCCCGGGCGGCTGGAGGCAGGCCTGGCGCTGCTCTGCCTTCCCAGGGCACCGTTTCCACTGAAGGAGACAGGAGAACCCTGGGCCACCCTGTCCACTCAGCTTGTTCCCATGATGATTCGGGTTCCAAGCTGTGTGTCCTGTGTGCCAGTCTGGGCTTGGACTGCCATCCTGCCTGCCCTGCGGGCTTTGTGAAGTCATCAGTAAAGTCCCTGGTGTGACCCACCTGACCGTCTGCAAAGGGTTTCCAGATCCATGGACACAGGCTTCCCAGCTTCAGTCACTCGGCGTCTTAGAGTTTCTACCAGATCCACGTCACCTGAGGAGAATGTTAGTACTTAACATCTTTCTTTAAATCCTCTTTTTTAAAAAATTAATAGACTTTATTTCTTAGAAGAGTTAGATGTACAGAAAAGGGAGCAGATCCACAGTACAGAGTTCCCAAATGCCCCCCAGTATCCCTATTACTAACATCTTACATTAATATGTATTTTCATCAAAATTAATAAACCAATATCGAGACATTATTATTAACTAAAGTCCAGTGTTTATTCAGATTTCCTTAGCTGTTATCTATTGTCCTTTTCCCATTCCAGGATTCTATCCAGAACACTTCAGAGTTTGAACTAAAAAGAAATGTTTACATCACTACTATAAATGAAAAGCTAGTGTTTTCTAATATACACTATCTTAAAATAAACTATTAAATTGAAACTATTCCCAACACCACAAGCAGAAACGCCTTTGTTGAAACCCGACGTCCGGGGCATTCGTCGCTGCAGTCTAGCCTAACCAGCATTGCCGCGGGCACTTTGATACGTCCTCGTGCCGCTAAAATCATCTGATGCTCCTTCACTGGTATGTTAAACACCAACTTGGTGAGGTCGTTGCCCCATTTTTCACAGGAATTGAGGCTGAGTGGTGATGTGTGTTCAGGCCCCGTAGGTGCAAGTTCACTATCCAATGCTAAGAGCCTGTGGGCAGGAGGGGTGGGCAGCAGGGCTGTCACCTCGGGCTTCGAGAGCAGACACAGAACAGCTGGGATACACACAATGTCCATCTTCAGCCAAGTCCTTTGGAGGCAGAGTGGGTTGGAATGGACCCCATCCTCGCTCTCTGGCTGGGGAAGAGTCAGGAAGTGAAGCTGCTTTGCAGCGGCTGCATTGGCTGAGTGGCCAGGGCTTGCTCTCCCACCCGGCAGGGCAGACCTGCCGAAGAGAAGCTTTTCCATCTGATTATTTTTCCCTTAATTGAGCCAAAATCTATCTCCCTGGCTAAATCCTGCACATACTGCAGGGTCCTACTTCATCATCACTTCCGTGGAGCACCTTCCCTGAGCTCTTCAAATCTCAGTTACGTGCCCCTCCTCCCTGCTTTCATGCCTGCCCCCCGTGTTACCCCCCCGGTGGCACTGAATCCTCTGTGTTCAAAGTCTACTGATTTGTCTGATTCCCCCCCGCTCCCCATGCCCTGGGAAGTCACGCCCGTGGATCCTCTATGTCCAGCACAGAGCGAAGCTCACCAAGTGAGGGATGCATGGATGAACGAAGAACAAGCCTGCCCCCACTTCTGGGATCTCCACCTTCTGGAGCTCCCAGAGGACATCTCTTCCCTGTCTGTGACGACTCTCCAGAGATTTGCAGACAGCATCCTTATCTCCCCGGGCTCCGCCCTTCTCCTGGCCTCCTCTCAAACATGCCAGTTTGCAGACTCTCCTCACCATCCTGGTCATTTCTCTAGACCCACTCCAGTGGTCTGGGCAGGTCTAGGAAAGCCCAAAGATGGCAGAATTTAGGCATCCTGTCCTGCATCTCAGTGGGTATGTCCCAGCTCTTAGGCGTAGCAATCCTATCTGAAGATAGGATTCTCTAAGGGTACTGTTTCCTTGGGGTCACTTGCTTTCAGTCTGCAGTAGCTAAGGGCCCGCTCCCCAGCGTGACTTGCCACAGGTGAAGGCTTAACCCTGGTACACAGCACAAGGTCTTGGCTGCCCCCACCCAAGCAGCTTACACTGTGGCCTCCCTGGCCTTCCCTGCTGGCCAGTCACTGACACCGCTGCTGGGAGTGTACGAGCACAACGCAACTTCATCATCCAGGCCTCCGAGTCCTGCTGAGGCCACGGCCCCAGTGTCCAAAGGAGGTCCTGAACACAGGGAATGGTGGGTGTGGTGTGGCCAGACGAGACCAGAGCCAGAGCTGGGTCTCAGAACAGCACGAGCCTACGCTGTCCTCAGCAGCAGCCCTGGGCCCGCCTTCTGCCTGCTCCTTCCTTCCAGGAGCACAGAGAAAGCCTCTTCTCTAAATGGTTCCCCATGGTGGGCTCACGTGGGGCCTGCTGGGCTTGTTCCAACCCTGAGCAGCCTCCTGACATGAAGCCACTCGTTAGTTCTCCCTCCTGCCCAGAACTTTGCAGGGTGCTCTGGAGTCCACCCACTGTGACTAGCATCCTTTAAATGACGTCAGGCTGGCATGGCCCTCCTGGTACAACCTGAGCAACTCACACCTGTCACCCCTGCTCGGAAACCAGTTCTGTCTGGCCCGAGTGCAGCTGAAGAGCCCATCTGTCTGACAGTCAGGCTGGTATTTCACTTCTTGATTTGGGCCCATCATTCACGTCATTGACCTGGGCCCCTTGGCCGACTCCTGGGCTGGAGCAGGGAATGTACAAGATGGCTGAAATATCTTGTATCAGAAATTAAGGAAGCAACCTTAAAATAATGGGGATTCAGGAGTTAGCCTGAAAGAACTCAGATTGGCCAAATTTGGTACAATCTGAGCATTCAAAATAAATAACAGTAACAATGTTCTTGGAATAAGAATCTGAGTCCATACTGATAACTAAATGAACAAAAAAATTTTAATGGGAGCAAAAAGAAAGCTTCCCGTTATAATAGGATGCCAAAAGAAATGAAGGGAGTTAGAAAATCACCATTCTGCAACCAGCTTGGTAACAGATTCAGCAAGAATCATCAATTGAGACTAAAACTCATGGGTGAAAGTTCGATGAGGAACAGGATATTGAGTCTGAAAGCATCCCTCCACAAATGACTTATTAATCACAAAAAGAAAAATAGTAACTTCACAGTGGAGAGAACGTAAACTCAAGCAAGTAATAAAAGTTAACATCAGCAAGAGGACAAACAGTATCACGTGCCTCTGCTGTGACGCACTGGGGACATGGCATCATGTCTGTGACATTCCTGCCAAAAGTGCATATCCTGCCTCTAGATATAAGGATGTATCAGACAAACCCAAATTGAGGGATACCCTAAAAATAACTGCCCTTACTCTACAAGAAGGCAGGGTCAAGAAAGCCAAAGATTGAGGAACCGTTTTAAATTAAATAAGACCATGTGGTCAGCAAAGAGGTGTGATCGGCAAAATCCGACTATGAAGTGTGGGCTAGACGTGGCGTTGTGTTCTACTCCTGCTGTGGGCACGCGCCACGCGAAGGGAGAGTCCTCACTCTCAGGACATACACGCTCAAGGACTTACAGACAAAAGGGTAGGATGCTCTTCTCAGATGGTTCAAAAAGAAATATAGAAATTTACAAAGCAAGTAATAAATAGGACAACACGTTAACAGCTAGTGAATCTGGATAAAAGATATACAGTCCTTTGTACTATTCTTGCAAATTTTTCTAAATATGACATTGTATCAAAATAAAGTTTTTAAAAGCAGACACTTTAAAGGATTTTATCGAATTAACTCTTTCCCGGCTGGGTCCTTGGCAAGCGTGTTAAACACACCTCCTTTGACCTCATCACTTCCAACAGCGTCCAAGATGGAAGGGCCAGAGACCTTCCTCCAGGGAGCAGACTTCATCCTGTTATCAACACCAGCAAATTAAGATTACTCCACAAACTGCAAATCTTATTAAGGATATGAGCATCTAACCGGTAGTCTCTCTTTCTTCAAAGAGGACATCAGGGGACATTATGGCAAATAACTTGGTGGGATCAAGGTATTCTCCATGAATGTATTAGTAAATAAATGGTTTTTTAGAGCTAGAAAAAGCCCAGTACAATTCCATTATCCTACAAGTGTTTCCTGCCTTTAGCTCTGACGAGGAAAGAAGGCGCAGGCCACGTACTGACTCACTCAGCAGACACTGCTCAGAGGCCAGGCACGGGGAGAGGTGCTCTCACGAGACTTGTTCAAGTTGAACAAGGGCGTCTTTTGAGCCTTTTGACCCACAAACCCCGTGATATACAGAAATCTCGTCAGTCACCTACATTTGGTGAGGGACACCTGCTGTCACCAAGAACAGGAGTCTATTTGCTGAACCTTGCCCTATCAATTCACCCTTGTTTGTGGGAGTGACTGAAGACAAGCTGCTTCCCCTCTAAGACAGGTTTTCTTTTTTTTGAGGAAGATTAGCCCTGAGCTAACTGCTGCCAATCCTCCTCTTTTTGCTGAGGAAGACTGGCCCTAAGCTAACATCCGTGCCCATCTTCCTCCACTTTATATGTGGGACGCCTGCCACAGCTTGGTGTGCCAAGTGGTGCCATGTCCGCACCCAGGATCGGAACTGGCGAACCCCTGGCCACCGAAGCAGAATGTGCGAACTTAACCACTGTGCCACGGGGCCAGCCCCTAAGACAGAGGTTGTTCGGAGGCCTGGCCACAGGCTGTGATCTAATCACTCCTGGAAATTAAGCCTCAAGTGTCAATCCCATGAGAATCTAAAAAGTTTTCTGGAAACACATTCTAACCTATAAGCACATCAGGAATTCTTTTCCCAGAGACGGAGCAAGGTATTATGTTTTCTGATGCAGTCACATGATTTTCACAACAGCCTTAAGAGAAACAGAGGCCTTGAGATTTCCTGCCCATGCCTCTGCTGTGGGGGACAAAGTCTGCTCCAAATGCCCACTACCCAGGATCAGAGACAAATGGAGACAAACCAGAGAAGACCACAGAAAACATGCACCTTAGGCATGGCCTTGCCACAGAAGTG